TCATGAAACCATGATCTTTCCATAAAATGAAATACAATATTACTCAGCGAAAGACGATCTAAGCGTTTTAAAATGTAGTCTCAAGCATAGACCTAAAGTGTCGCTCAGTCAATTTTTGTTGGCACCGGACTCTTCTTTTCGGATCAATACATTAGAATTAAAATTTGAAAAGGTGCTCGTGATTAAAAGGTTCCACCTATCTCCAATTCCCTGGTATCGTATACAGTATCAAACTTTTAATACAGTACATGCAATTCACTTCAACCTGGTAACTCAAACCTCCTGAAGTCGAATATCTCTTTGCGTCGAATATTTTTGAAGTCCCAGTCTGAATTCCCTCAGAAACAATGCATTGAAAACAATTTTCCTGTGTCAATGAAATAGTATCTGAAAGGCCTCCAGAAAATTCGAGTTAAGGAGGTTTGAGGATGAAAGCGTTTACTCATTCAAAACGCTGTTTGAGGCCAAGAATATAAACGAATACAATATACTGGGAATCTTCTTTCTTGACCCCAACAAAAAGGTTTGTCTTCAAAATCGAAACCTCCCTCACTCAATTTTATTTTTCTGATCCCCTTGAAGTTCGATTTAAGGAGGCTTGGCTGTGTCCGAAAAACTATTAGAAATGACACTAACCGGGTTCCCGCCACGGAAAATACTTCAATCCCATCCCCAACAAGCACATTTCAGCAGTGTTCGTCAAGGTTCTTGATGACATGAAGAAGACTAGCCATGAAGTGAGCTGTAAAGCTGCTGTCCATTTGGCCGCTTTCGGACCGAACGCATTTCTTGAAGCCACGTACAAACCATAATCCCCATATCCGCAAATCGCGCTTTGAAATAACTTTGGACCCATTGTCTAATAAAACGACAGAAAAAAGCGGAATTCAACTATGCATGAAATTCGTAACTGTAAGAACTCACCATGGAAAAATACGATCGAGAGAGACCGAAGAAGTCAATAACTCGATAAAATATTGCGAACATCGTTGGATACAAATAACTTCGGATGCCTCGGCGCCATTCCCAAGTTTCATATCCATACCTGCAAGAATCACGACAGTATTCACACGGAGGTTAGAAGATTTTACGAATTATCGCGTGTTCTTATAACGAAATTCACGCGAGTACAAGTATCTACGGATTCTTTTCTTTACAGTATAGTGATTTTATCTTCGTTCGTCATCACTCAAGAATTTTCTTCGGGCGATGTTCTTCGATTGATGATACAAAGGAAACTACGAAGTCGAAAACTTGTCCTTTTCACGGTTTTTAAAGTCTCCCAACAAATCAACATTTCGAATTCCACGTAAAATACACGAGAAATTAATCTGAAATCCTGAACTTGAAGCAATTCAAGCGCACAAATTCCGTTTTCTGCAAAAACATCACAACTGACATTTCCAAAAATGTTCCTAGTCGCTCTCGAAAGTTGAAAACTTCTTGTACACGGTATACCAAAACCGTACACACAACGGAATGTAACAAAATTTTGCATCTTAAATAAAGATGCAACTTAAGAAAATTTATGGAGAGAAAAGGGGCCGAACGCTTGGTCACATTCATACCTGAAATTCTTCACAAAATTTACTTTTTTCCGGTCATATTTCACAACTCATCCTGAGCCGTAAATAGATGCTCGATGACTTTGTGAGATCGTTATCGTCTGCGTAGGTAGGTGCATCCTTTAAAATACTCAATACCCCAACGGAGAGTCAAAGATTTCAGAGCTGACGTGAAATTTGTTATAAGCCTCATGGGAAACAAGGTATTTTGCATTCGCGCTATAAGGCAGTTTAATTTGATAGTCATGTGAGACAAACCACTACGTGAGCTCACCCGAAAACTGACCGATACGCAATTTCGAGAGATTGCCAATATTCATCCGGAACGAAATACGTTCTCACGAAAAAGGCTCCCAACATCCTGAAAGCTACGAATGCAACCAAATGCTTATTCAGCCTCATGATTGGATTGTTCATCCGGTTCTGGTATCGTCTCCAACAATTCACGATACACTTGTATCAACAGATCCAGACGAGGTCGGATGTCCAGGAACAAGGGCTGGAGCTTGCGTCCTTCGTCGCCGCATTTGATAACAAATGCTAGGTATGACGTTATCGAAGCAAACCCAATTCTCTCTTTAATGATGAGAGATTCTACGACTTCGATGGGTATCCAATCGGCCGATACAGTCCCAAATTTGTTTTTCCGTTCTATCTCGTATCCAAGCCCGGGAATCGCGAGAATACTTTCTTCGACTGTCTTTGAAAATGTCCAGAGGAACGCAAGGATAACGCACAGTGCGACGAAAGCAACGTAAATATTGGGCACGAGAAGTATCAACGCCGCAGCAGCCACGAGTATCCACAATATATTTGATGAAGTGCGAAGCGACAGGTTGATTTTTAATGAACAAGCTGTCTGTTCCGCTTGCAGCTCGAATTCTTCTCCGAAAAAATTCACAGCATCGATAAAACGTTTCGTCCAACCGAAATTACCGAATGCGCCACACTTCGTGCCACCATCCATGAAACTGAATTTATGTTCTCCATTATAGAAGAACGCCTGAAAATCACAAGACCGAGGGAATGACACCTTCACAATAGAAAAAACAGAAGACCTTCGACTCAAATTCGTACACAATAATTTTATTGAAACAGAGTCTGAGAACATATACGAAAATGTCGCTGTACGATCACGTTGCTACCTTTTCTTAAATCCGTATTTTTTCCGTTCATAAAACAAATCCGTCTTCGAGCTACCGAGATTGACGATCTTTGGACATCCGTCTCTCTGAAATCAGAATATAAACAGTTGTGTTATTCCCTGAGCAACTGGATCTAACGATGCGCTTACGTCTTTCTCCAGGATTGTGCATTCCTTGCAGTAGTAAGCATCAGAAACTCCTGGTCCACCGCATATGACGCATCTACCCTGATAGCTTCCGTAGTTGCATTCATCGCAGATTCGTACCAGGGTGCAAGGTCTCACGTACGAATCACATATGACGCATTTTCCATCGCACTTTTCGCAGAGACGGCCAATGGCTGGAAGAGAGTCAGATATGATTGACCATCCATCAAAAGTTACAATGCTGAATTATTGTCATCACAGCTTACCGACTCCAGGCTGTTTGCGACAGAAGATAAGATCGGGATGATGCTTTGCCATCACAAAATCTCACGATGATGTCACTGGAACAGAATTACACAAGTTCGACCGATTACCGTACCCGCAACTTCTCAGACCTCTTTGCATGCGGCGTTTAAGATGTGACCGTACGGATTAATATACTTGGCTGGTTGCACACCCACTTAGGCACTCACTGGATATTATTAGAATGTAATAACCCATTTGATTCCCCAAAAATGTTCGAAAACTGGAATATTTAATTCCAAAGAATTGAATTCTGTGAGGAGCTGTGAATGCGAAGAAAATCAGTGGGCTCGGAGCCTAAGACACTGAGTGGTGATTCCACTAAGAGACGTGCTTGTCAAAGATATGTTTCCAAAACAGCGAACCAGCGTTGACAAGCCCGTCACCTATACGCACTGCAGTACTACTGTTTCATAGATATGAGCATGTTGGGCTTTCCGAAATTAATCAATGACTTCATCAACAGCAGGAAAGTAAATTATTCCAATAGCTCGCTGTACACTCCTTTGGTTTCATTACAGTACTTCTGTGCGTATACTGTATCACTATTCCCTTAAGATCATATGATAGAGAACTGCTTCTGCACGCCTGACTTTCTTGAAGAAATTCACGCTTCTTTCCATCGCTGATGATTCTAGTGTGGATGATTCTTGCGGTGATTTTTGGGAATGATTCTGTCTCCAAGATAATAACATCGGGTCGATTAAGGATATCAATAATTGACATTCGGTATTACAATGAATATATAGTAGCGAAATACATTGATACTATATGCGCAATACATCAGAAAGCAGGAAAGGGCATGGGTAAATTGGATATACTGTACTGCTCAACTGCTGTACCTTATGGAACAGCAATTGTCCCGAACAATACCTACTGAGATGCTTTTATTGTCAAAATTTCCTCCGCAAATTTCAATATCCTCTTTCGTCATTTAAAAATGTGGTTCTAAATGCTAACCACACCTGCAAATCAATGAACACTGGTTCCAAAAATAATCTCTAGGTCCGCCTGGCAGCAGAAGAAACACCACCATAGAAATATTAGTGCCATAAAAATATGATTGAGAAACAATTCCCAGCTGCAAATATACGACTACATTCTAACAGAATTTTCAGTGTCGGTTAAACCAAGGAGGACTACTTTCACGTGCAGTTATTCGAATTTAAAATCTTTTCCCCATTTTTTAGCATTTGAATAAGATAACTCTTCTAATTATATGAAGCAGCATTTTCAGTGCATCACGACGGCAGCACTCAAAAGACAATTTTACTGCAGATAAAACCGCCGACTGCTCCGTTGGTTCATTTCCTGTTTATAGGAACGCTTTCGGTTAATCAAGAATTTCAATAAAGAAAAATGGTTTCATTTGGTGAGCAAGTTATTTTGCGTTCCGCATGGAAATATTTATCTTTATTTTTTCAATGTATTCCTCAATTCACACTTATGTTTAAAACACTGTTGGATTAAAAAAACCATTATCCATCCACTGATTGAAGAGAAGTAAAAATTCAGTTATTTACATTGATTGTTTTAGAGCAAATGTACAACCATCTTTCTCTAAATTCTTTTCAACAAAATTCTCTTTGGAGACGAATTTTTTTCTAGCCCCCTTGAGTATAGTTTCATTGTTGAGAGAGCCCACCTATTTATTGTATGTTTATACAGTATAGTACTGTATGCACTGAGCTCAGTATATATAGGAGCTGAGGTAAACATGGCAGGGCTCTCAAAATCTGTATACTGTACAGAAAAAATATTCGTAGACAAGATCTTTTTAGAGAGGGTCAAATTTCACTGTGAAGTATTTTTTTCTAACAGATTTTTAACATTTTATTCACATATTGTAGGTTGTTTTTTGCTTGAAATTCCATCCTGATGAAAAGTTTATCTTGACGGATTTTTACCCATGCGGCAAAAAATTCCGGATAACTCCATACGTATTCTGAAATGTGTCAAGAACAGCATCCATTTCTTTTTCGAATCTGGCGAAATACGTAATATTTTCATAACACATTCACTCGCGTTTTTCCCTATATTACACCGTCTTGTCTCTTTTCTGATTGTCGTCAACATAACGTTAATTCTGAACTTGAATTTTTTTACTTGAAATTTTATCCTGATGATCGATTCATAAGAATAATATTTGTTCTTGTGAAATTTTAACCAAGCGTGGCAAACTAGAAAAAATAACGGAAATCCATGCGCATAATAAAATGTGTCAAGAAAAGCATTCATTTATTCTTTTCTCATGTTGCAAAATACATAGTGACATCTTCATCACTCATCGTGCCCCCTCATATCCCCTACACCGTCGTGTCTCTTTTTTGATTCTCGTCATCGAATGCCCGATTTTGCACGCCATTTTCATTCCTCGTATCAACACTACTCCGATCCATCATTTTTGTCTTCACTGCTCGCCAGGCTTTCGCCAAAACAAAGGCAATCCAAAGAGGTGGACCCGTCATGAGCAACTGGGCAGTCGGAGACGCCACAGCAATATCCGACGCTGGCCTCGGCAATGACAACTTGAGCACAATCATCGCGATTCCGGCATTTTGAAAGGCCGTTTCAATGGAAACAGCCTTGATTTGAGCCAGGGACAAACGTGCGGCAATTGCACCGGCTGCTCCCAGCACGAATCCGAAACACGCGACGAAAAGGCCAGCCAACAACATTGGTCCAGTCAGGAGGTAGAAGACGTAGGCGTTTGAATACACTCCAACCTGAAATGATGGAAGAAATACAGTGGGAATTTGATGTATAAGGAAGATTCGCGTTAGAGACACTTATAACTGAAAAAAATCTGCTCAAGCATCCAGACAATAATGACTAAAGATATGGGGGACACTTTGCCGAAATTTTCCACGATAAAAGAGATTATGTATCTTGAAGAAATTGAGCTATTTTATATTTAAAAAATTAAAAATACGTTCAATTATAAATTTATTCTCATAAACAGCAGGCTGACTTTGTGCTTCTTTCTCAGACTTACCTTTTTAATATTCTGGGCACATCATAGCAAGATTTATTCTTGTTCCTTGCTTTCTTTTGGTGCCAAAAGATCCTATTCTACATGGTTTTCTTCTGCACATGCAGTTTAATTTTATCTTGAAGTTTAGGGAAGGAATCTTGCGTTATCCAGGAAATACTTGGATTTGTTTCCAAGACCTTGTTTTAAATTGCACCTTACTTTGAGGAAGCAAACAAGGTTTTCTCCCTGCAGCTGTTCCCCTTGTTTTGAAATTGCTCTTCTTGTGTCACCCCAGGTTAAACAGCTTGACGCGCTTTTGTCCTCTTTAACAAATATAAAACTCCCCCTCACTTCTGACAGTGACGAATGTTATCTGTGCATCCGCACCTCTGAAATACGTATTTCAGAGGTATATATTGTATACAACAGATTTGCATATGTATATTGTGTTGTGCATCATGTTTCTAATATTTTGCTTCATGAGGTCTGCGCACTCATGAATAATATACAAAATACCTTTGCTGATGGCCTATACTGTATACCTGAAAAGCATATATATTGCTGAGGAACAATATTTTCCTGAGATTTAATCCTGTGTTGACCTCAGTTACATATCAGAGAACCTTGTGTACATTTAACAAAATTCTCTTCAAAAAATCTGTATGTTTATTTTTGAATATTGTTTGAACCTTGTTTGTTGTGAATAAAAGTATTTATATATATATTATATATTGAAATTCTATTTTATTTTATGGACAACACTACTTGATTCATTTTTTGGGACTTATTCCCAATTTTTCTTTATGAACAGGAGAACAGATTGAATGGATGTTTCCATTGAAGTCTGTCATGTCTGTGAGGATAATGTGACCCAACATGCAGACACTCTGACATAGGGACAAGGTGCCAACACCAATTACATCTGCATCTCAGGGTCCAGCAGCTGCATTATCCAGATCGAACCTTGATTTAGTGCCACCATTTGCCCCGGCAGATTCTGTTGCACTATATAAGCAAGGGTGGCACTAAATCAAGAGCATTATTATGCAAGAGGAAACAGTGAATATGTAGTTGAGGGTTTCTAGCTTCAACAAAACAAGCTTGGTTATATAATTGTTTACAATTCTGTATTATGTACTCATTCCATTTTATGAAATAGAAAGCCACAAAAAATAATTCAACGCATAATTTAACCTTTTCATATAGCATTTCAAAATATTTTAAAAGGCAAAATAGATTTTTTTTAGTATAGTACATAGTCAAACCTTGATAAACTGCCAAGTTCATAATGGTTTAACAGGGTTGGAAATTTGAATGGGGTTGGTGGTTTATCAAAAAAGCGAAAATATTATCACAAAATGATGTACAGTATAACAGGAAATAAAATTATTATTATTCTAGAAAACAATAAAAATAACCCCATGGGATGCATAAATTATATCTAGCTAATCTTTCCATTGATTAATCTATGTCGTGTACTTCATGTATCAATTTATTTTATTTTTTTATTGGAAACCTCTCGCAGAAACTAAAATGTTGTTGGTGTGCTCTTGCAGAAAAATTATTGGCAACTGTTGTAATAATTTTATGGAGTTTCTGGAATCCATTGCATCAGTTCGTAGAATTTGATCAAACGAAGGAAACGTGTGGAAAAATAACTTGGATTTTACATCATTTTTCATCTGACGAAGATAACGCATGAAAAAATCAGATTGAATTTTACATGATTTCGTCGAACAAAGGAAAATGTATGGAAAAGCACTTTGAATTTTACCGTGAGCAGAATGGCGATTAGAACGCAGGTGAACGGCTTGATGATCTTGGCAGAAAACTTTTTTGCTGCCGGTCGCCAACGACAGAGCAAAATCCCAATGATTAGTGGGATCGTCAATGACACAATGGACATCACCAAGTTCAGATAGGGGATCTTTGGAGCGTAACTTTCTTCAGATCCGTACAACATCGGCGATAGCATCGACAACCACAAGGGCATCATTCCTGCAATTGAATAGAAAAAAATGTAATTAAATAATCTGGTGTACATTCATTAAATACAGTACAGTACAGTACTTTATTTCCTCTTCTATATACAGTCAACCCTTGCTTAAC